TGCTCCTCCCCCTGCCTCCTTGCTCCCCCCAGTGTGGGGCGGGGGCTCCCTGGACAGCTGCAGGGCTCAGCTCAGGAAGCAGAATGTGTTTGCTTAAGACGCACAGGGAACATTTTGGCTCCCACCGCGGGGTTAGAGCCAGCGGTTCGCAGACTTGGGGCCTTCTCAGATTTTCCCGGAGACACTCCGCCACTCCCCCCACACCCACCAGACAGACAGACAGACAGACAGACACGCGGGCTGCCCCCCCCTCCCACAAATGCAAGCAGGGTCTCCCACCCACGGTCTGCCTAACGCTCACAAAGCCCCCCACAAACCCTGCCCCAGCGCCCCTCGGCGGGGTGGGGAGCCAGACCTCACCCTCGCCCAGCTCTCCTGGCTGGAGGGAGACTAGAAGTTTCTCACTTTGCAGGAGATCCAGTTTCTCCCCCTCCCCCACCGCCCCCTCTGGCCTCATCTCCTCTTGGGTCTTGTCCAGACTGTTGCTGTGTCTTTAAGGAAGTTGACGCTGGAGAGGAGAGAGGAGAGGAGAGGAGGAGGAAGAGAGAGAGAGAGAGAGAGAGAGAACACAACCTAAGAAAACTTTGGCCTCTTCCCCCTTCCAAGTTTGCTGGTGTCCCTTATGAAACACGGGCCGCAGCTTTTACAGACCAGCTCCATTTTCCCCCTTTTTTTTCTAGAAGGCAGCGGCCTGCCATCTGGCTTCCCCCCACGGCCCCCCTGTCTGGACAGGGTGGGCACCAGGCTGCCCCACCACCCCCACCTCACCCTGCCTTGGCCTCCCGGGGCCTTGCGAACTTTCTGGGCAATCTGATTCCCTGCGGCTTCTTTGGCTGAGGAAGAAGAGCATTTTGGAGGTAAGGAAGGGAGGCAGCGGAGGCCAGGGCTGGGGGGTGGAGGCCCGTTGGCGGAGGCCATGGAGAAGGGTGGTGGGTCAAACCTGGGCCTTTGGGACACTTGGGGCAGCAGCTTTCTGGGTTGGCCACCCTGCTAACACCCCAGCTTTATTAGGGTTCCTCTCTGGCTCCCCCAGTCAGCTGAGAGGTCCTGGAGGGGTTGATTTAGGCAGCTGCTTAGTAGCTGCTTGACCAGCATCAGCCAGGCTGCCATGCTACAGAAAGGGCCTGGTGTCTGCTGCGGTCAAGGCCGGGGAGTGGAGGGGGCGGAGGTGGTACAAGGGGCCCTGTGTGGGCAGGACAGGGCAGAGCCAACCCCTAGGGGCCTGGGGGAGGGCAGGAGGGAGGGACAGGGAGCACTGGGGGAGGGGGCAGCTGGAATACAGATGGCCAGTTGTAAAGTTGGGGGGCGGGAAAGCAGCCCCCCCCTCCCCAGAGGAGAAGCCGATCTTCTGCCATCCTGTCTTCACCCTTCCTGGCAAGTTTAGGCTCCTCCTCTGGGCCTCAGTTTCTCCCTCCCCCCTCCTTTTATTTTGTGCTAGTCATGGGGCTTGAACTCAGGACCTGGGCACTGTCCCTGAGCTCTCTTGCTCAAGGTTGGCACTCTACCGCTTGAGCCACAGCGCCACTTCCGGTTTTCTAGTGGTTTATTGGAGATAAGAGTCTCAGGGACTTTCCTGCCCCGGCTGGCTTTGAACCGTGATCCTCAGATCTCAGTGTCTTAAGTAGCTAGGATGACAGACATCAGTTTCCCCTTCTGCAGGGTGGAGATGGGGGGCCTGGGTGATGTGGGGGTCATGAGGGGGCAGAGCTAACTGTTGAGCACCAGAGTTTGGGGGTGTGGGGGGGGTCCTGGGAGAGACAAGAGCCTTTAAGTAGCTGTGGATCCTCCAGTTGATCTCGGTGGTCTGTTCATCCTTCTAGAAGGTACCATGCCTGAGCTGTGTCTCGTCTGTTGGGTGCTTCTCCTGGGCCTGGCACAGGCCTGTCCAGAGGCCTGCGACTGTGGAGAGAAATATGGCTTCCAGATCGCCGACTGCGCCTACCGAGATCTGGAGGCTGTGCCGCCCGGCTTCCCAGCCAACGTGACCACCCTGAGCCTGTCGGCCAATCGGCTGCCCGCGCTACCAGAGGGCGCCTTCCGGGAGGCCCCGCTGCTGCAGTCCCTGTGGCTGGCCCACAACCAGATCCGCGTGGTGGCCGCCGGCGCCCTGGCCCCCCTGGGTCACCTGAAGAGCCTGGATCTCAGCCACAACCTCATCTCGGACTTCGCGTGGGCCGACCTGCACGCCCTGCACGCCCTGCAGCTGCTCAAGATGGACAGCAATGAGCTGGACTTCATCCCCCGTGATGCCTTCCGCAGCCTGGGTGCCCTGCGCTCGCTGCAGCTCAACCACAACCGCCTGCACACGCTGGCCGAGGGCACCTTCGCGCCCCTGGCCGCGCTCTCCCACCTGCAGATCAACGACAACCCCTTCGACTGCACCTGTGGCATCCTGTGGTTCAAGGCCTGGGCGCTGGCCACGGCCGTGTCCATTCCCGAACGTGACAATATCGCCTGCAGCTCCCCGCATGTGCTCAAGGGCACCCCGCTGGGCCGCCTGCCCCCCCTGCCCTGCTCCGCCCCGTCCGTCCAGCTCAGCTACCAGCCCAGCCAGGACGGGGCCGAGCTGCGGCCGGGCTTTGTGCTGGCCCTGCACTGTGACGTGGATGGTCAGCCGGCCCCTCAGCTCCGATGGCACATCCAGACCCCGCGGGGCTCCGTGGAGATCGCCAGCCCCAACGTGGACGCCGATGGACGTGTCCTGCCCAGCGCCCTGGCGGCCGACGGCCAGCCCCGCTTCCAGGCCTTTGCCAACGGCAGCCTGCTCATCCCTGACTTCGGCAAGCCGGAGGAGGGTATCTATAGCTGCCTGGCCACCAACGAGCTGGGCAGCGCCGAGAGCTCGGTGAACGTGGCCCTGGCCACCCCGGGCGAGGGGGGTGAGGACGCTTTGGGGCGCAGGTTTAATGGCAAAGCGGTGGAAGGCAAGGGCTGCTACACCGTGGATAATGAGGTTCAGCCGTCGGGGCCTGAGGATAATGTAGTCATCATCTACCTCAGCCGGGCCGGGACCCCCGAGGCTGCCGTGGTCAAAGCGGGGGGCCCTGAGCAACGGCTCCCTGGCCTGCTCTGGCTGGCCCAAAGCCTGCTCCTCCTCTTCCTCACCTGCACCTGCTTCTAGCCCCGCCCCCTCCCCCCGGGCAGGCCTCCCGCACTCTAGTAAGGGCCACTGGGGCTGGACTGGGCTCTGCATTCTCCTACCTCCCCTTCCGAACTCTTCTGGAACACACACCCCAACCCGTGCACCCGCTCAGAGCTAGTGACTGTGTCAGGGTGCAAATTTGCTGCTGCTGCTGCTGCCACTGCCGCCAGCATAACCCAGGGCCCCGCCTCTCACTGGGGCAGCATGCTAACAAGGGTGATGTCCTCACTTGCTGGAAGGCTGGATGTCTGGGGCCTGCAGGGGTGTGGCCAGGAGGGAAGGATGCAGGGTACACAGGAAGGAGAAGAGGGCGAAGGCAGTGGGGACAAGAAGGTCCGCAAGGCTGACCCCTGGCTGGTGATTTCTGACCAAGACTTGGGGCTCCTGGAAGGCCGGGCCTCCTTCTCCGGCCACCCCAGCTCCCCCAGCCTTTGCCCTCCACCCTGGACACCTGCCCTTCTTTTCTCTACAAATCCACACGCATCTGTTCCCATCAGCCTGTTGGTGGCAGAGAAATAAACATTTCTAAGGCTGTCCACCCGTGTCTGTTGGCATGTGTGTGTGCGCACACGCGTGTGTACATGAGGGTATGTGCGTGCCAGCCCTGGGGCTTGAACTCAGGGCCCTGCTATTGTTTAACATTTTTGCCCAAGGCTGGTGCTCTACCCCTGGAGCCACAGCTCCACTCACAGTTTTTTTTTGTCAGTCGTGGGGCTTGAACTCTGGGCCTGGGCACAGTCCCTGAGCTCTCCAGCTCAATGTTCACTCTACCACTTGAGATGCAGCACCACTTCCGGTTTTCTGGTGGTTCATTAGAGAGAAGAGTCTCATGGCCTTTCCTGCCCAGGCTGGCTTTGAACCTGGATCCTCAGATCTCAGCCTCCTGAGTAGCTGGGATGACAGCCACCAGCTCCCGGCTCACTCAGTTGGTTTTCTGTCCTTATTGGGGATAGCCGGGGATGGCCGCACAGGACCGCTGTGCCCATGCCCGGCCAGGTCGTGGGGGGGACACAGGAAGCCTCTTCAGGTGGAGGGGGAGGGTGGTTCAGCCGTGGGGCTGGGCCTCCACGCATGCGCCGAGTGGTAGACATTTCCCTTCTCCAAAACCAGCCCACAGGGCCCAGGGGAAGGGAGGCTGTCCACATTCCAGAGTCTTCCATGAGGGTCCCTGGTGATGCGGGGCAGTGCTCTGTGGCCGTGCTGGCCTTGGGGGGTGCATGGGAATGGAGTGAGGCCAGGAGAGCCCCCCCCCCTTGCCCTGGTCTGCTTCTGTAGCGCTAGGAGAGTGAAGGAATGGAGGGACGGAGGAAGGAAGGCCAGGAGACACAAGCAGGGGAGAGGCTGAGGGCAGGAGAGGCGGGAAGGAAGGAGGGGGGAGGGACTGTGTTGGGGGGGGAGAGGGTGTCTAGGCCAGGGCTGCAGATGCCTGGGAGAATTTCCCTCGGCATCCCGGGGCTCTGATGCAGATCGGTTGTGGGGGACAGCCAGCCCCCCCCTCTGCAGTGTCTCAGATGGGGGACAGAACCTGTGCAGGGCCAGGGGCAGCCCCGAAATAATGCGTATTCACAGAGCGGGGGGCAGCATCCAGAGGTGAGACTCAACATGTCCGCATGGGGCCCAGGACTGCTGAGCTCAGCGAGGAGGGAGGGGTACCCCGCCCAGAGCCCCAGCCAGCAGCTGTGAGCCCTGGCGGCTGGCCAACCCGGCCAGACCCTCTGTGCTACACACCCCCTCCCCCGCGCCCCCCGCCCCCTCCAGCAAAAATGCAGAACAGGATGGAGTCAGTGCAGCAGGCGAGTTGTGTCCTGAGTGGACCAGTGTCTCCCGTGTGGCAATCTCCTGTAAGTTCCTGTGGACCACCTCTGCATTTGACTAAGTAGGTCTGAGACACGGCTCCCACATGGCCTCCTCCAGGAAGCCTTCCGGGATGCCTACTTCCTTCTCTCACAGTGTGGACCTGCTGCCCTGCACAGCTCAGGGCATGCCAGGCCCGGCCTGACCACACCCCTGTGGGGCTCTGTCTCTCCGTGGGAAGGACACAGGCGGAATCTGGACCCCCTTCCCTGTCTTCCCTGTGACCCTTCATGTTGCTTCCACAAGATCAGGAAGGTATTTTTCAGTGGGCTGTGGCAGGTGTGGAGGGGCCCTCTCTGTCTCCTTGGGCAGCCTGGAAGGAGGGTTTGAACTTTTTTTTTTTTTTTTTTTTGGTGTAGGTCCTGGGGCTTGAACTCAGAGCCTAAGCTCTGTCCCTGAGCTTCTTTTGCTCAAGGCTAGTGCTTTACCATTTGAACTACACCTCTACTTCTGGCTTTCTGGTGGGTAAACTGAAGGTAAGGGTCTCACAGACTTTCCCAGCCTGGGCTGGCCTTGAACCACCATCCACAGATCTCAGCCTCCTGAGGAGCTGGGATTACAGGCGTGAGCCACCGTGCCTAGCTTGGGCTCCCTGGCTTTGTGTGCACACGAGGCCACATCAGTAGAGCCACAGGCAGGGTCGCCTTCTTGTTTAGACATTTCTCGAGGGCCTTAACCTTGATGTGGGGGGGGCACTGTCCCTGCATCCCCAACCTCAGGATGGGTCATACTGAGACCATCTCTCCATTTCACACCCCTCTCCAACCCCTCCACACACACTGATTGCAGCTAAGTCTCCTGCCTTCAGCCATGCCGCCTCCCCCCTCATTCCCAAACTTTCCCCACCTCCCATCACGGCCCATTCTTTTTCTTTCTTCAAATCAGGTGTGGGGCTTGAACTCAGTGCACAGGCTTTGTCCCTGAGCTCTTTTGCTCAAGGCTAGTGCTCTACCACGTTGAGCCACAGCGCCACTTCCGGCTTTCTGTTGGTTCATCGGAGAGAAAAGTCTCTTGGAGCCCAGTGCTGAGCTGCTCAGGAGGCTGAGATCTGAAAATCATGGTTTGGGCCAGCCCAGGTGGGAAAGTCCATGAGACTTTTATCTCCAATGAACCACCAGAAAAACCAGAAGTGGCGCTGTGGCTCAAGTGGTAGAGCGCTCGCCTTCAGCCGAAGAGCTCATGGACAGCGCCCAGGCCCAGAGTTCAAACCCCACAACCGACAAAAAAAGAGTCTCTCCTGCCCTGATTTGACTCACAGTCCTCAGATCTCAGCCTGAGTAGCTAATATGACAGGCATGAGCCACTGATGCTGGGTGCAGTCCATTCTTTAAAATCCAGAGGTTGCAACATCTGGTGACATTAGGATCTCAATCTTCACCATCCAAAATGGCGTAGTGATGGATTCTCTCTGCCCCCCACCTATCCCAAGCCGCCACGCAGCTGGAATACCCCCAGCCCACCCAAACCCCAGAAGCAGTGTGGGTTTATCGGTGATGGACAGAGTTCCTGTTTATTCTCCAGGGCGCATCAATCTCTTTCATGATCCCTAGTTACATTATGAGAATGAAGGGCCAGTCAGCCCAGTGTGTTGTGCCCGCCCGGCTCCTCAGTGGGGTGGGGTTTTCCTCATGGGCCCTGGAAATCTTCCAGTCCATCTAGGGCAGGAGAGGGAGGCAGAGAAAGCCAAGACCCGCCCTGGGGCAGTGCCAGGCCTGAGGTGGAACTCTAGCCTGTCCAGGCCCTGAATTACTGGAAAGGCCTCTGGGAGGGCCCCCCCCCCCAAGGCCTGAGCCAAGGGAGGAGAGAAAAGGCCCGGATGTGTCTGGCCCTCCGCCTCCACCATCTCCTAGGCCCCTCCCAGCCCATCAATCCCTCCTCCCCCAGCCCTCCCTGGGAACCCCGTGTGCAGGGCAGAGAGCAGGGCTCTCCCCAGCTCACAGTATAGACAGATCTCCGCCTTGGCCCTGACTGGGGTGAGCTCGATCTTCCTCGCCCTCAGGGCTGGACACCATTGGCCCGGGCACCTGCCAGGGCCATCTTCCGGAAGGCCTGCAGGGATGGGTTCTGCACCAATGTATAGGCCACACCCCATCGGGCCCTGCTCCGGCAGACGCGGGGTCCAGCTCCCTTGGCCACAGGATCCTTCGTCTGCAGCAGCTGCATCCCTGAGGAGAGGGGTCCCTCAGTGAGTCACCCCTCAAGCCCTCTCCCTGGACCCAAGCCCAGTCCGAGAAGGCTGGCCATGGTAAGAGCGATGAGCTTGGGGCTTCGCAGCCAGCTACGAGTGAGCTGGGAGTGGGGAGGAGGAGATGAGGCTGCAGAGGGTGGGAAGGCTCAGATGTCACCAGGCAGGGGCAGCCAGAGGAAGGGGGGCCCGGCCAGCACAGGGGCGGCACCGGTGAGTGTCCCCTGCGCATCTCCTGGGCGGTAGGAAGGATGTCTCAAGCTCTTTGAGAGAGCAGAGGGGTGCAGCCTGGACGGTTGACAGAACCCCGTAGGAAGCAACCACTGCGGTCCGTGTATGAACATGCACAGTACAGAAAAAAAACCACCCGAGAACGGACAGCCAGGGGCCCCACAGACGGCTAAGGGAGAGCGGAGGTGGACATTCCCTGTGGGAGGGGCTTGGCTGGGCAGTGTGGGAGGGGCTTGGCTGGGCCCTGTGGGAGGGGCGTAGCTGGGCCGTGCTGGGAGGGGCGTGGCTGGGCAGTGTGGGAGGAGCTTGGCTGGGCCATGCTGGGAGGGGCGTGGCTGTGCCCTATGGGAGGGGCATGGCCAGGCAATGTGGGAGGAGCTTGGCTGGGCCTTGTGGGAGGGGCTTGGCTGAGCAGTGTGGGTGGTGCTTAGCTGGGCCCTGTGGGAGGGGCGTAGCTGGGCCGTGCTGGGAGGGGCGTAGCTGGGCCGTGCTGGGAGGGGCTTGGCTGGGTCCTGTGGGAGGGGTTTGGCTGGGTCCTGTGGGAGGGGTTTGGCTGAGCAGTGTGGGAGGGGCGTGGCTGGGCCGTGCTGGGAGGGGCGTGGCCAGGCCATGCTGCTAGGGTTCAGGACCCCCATGGTCCACCCAGAGGCAAGGCCTACCTTCCTCTTCCTCCCCCAGCCTGAGGCTTCCAGGGAGATTTCCTGGGGGTCGGAGCTGGGGGCTCCGAGCTCGTAGAAGCAGGGTGCAGAAAGCTGCCACGGCTGGATGTGACTGGCTGGCCTCGATCTTCAGGAAGTTTCGATATGTTTGATATGCTGGGGTGCGGAGGGGCAGGGCACGGCATCAGGAAGGGCCAGCGGGATGAAGCGTGCACAGCACAAGCACGATCACACGTGTGCACACACCTGACGCCATGCACGCCCGTGCATACACATTCTACCCTACCATGTGTGTGTGCGCAATCACAAATGTGGGCACACACGTGTGCACACAGACACAAACATGCTTGATCACACACTGGGCATACTGGGCATGGGTCACATGTACTCCATGTGACAGGGATGCACAATCACACACACGCGTGGTCATACATTTACACACATGCAAGTCACACATGCACACACACCTGTGCACATATGCCCACCCATGTGCGTGTACATGCATATGTGCACAAAAGCTGAGAGCATAGAGCATATGTACTCTAAGTGAGCACACACAGCTCATAGCACACACATAGCACACACAGGGCCACAGATAATCGGGCAGTCACACCTTTCCTGCTTGAGCCATCTTAGCCTCTAGGCCCAGCCTAGCCCCCAGCTCCTTAATTCAGGGCCCCAGCCCCCAGATGCTAGCCCTAGATCCCCAGTCCCAGCCCTAGATCCTATTCTGTAGCTCCCAACCCCTAGCTCCCAATATCCAACCCCTAGCCCCAGCCCTTAGCCCCCAACTCCTAGCCCTAGCTAGGACTCTCAGTCCCCAACACCTAGACCTAGACTCCAGGCCTTGGCCCCAACCCCCAACTCCTAGACTCTAGTCCTTAACCCCTTGCCCTAGGCCTCATCCTCTCAGCCCTCAGTCCTTGCCCAGGGATCTTACCCGGGTCCAGATTGGTGGCTCTGGGTGGCAGCAGGCTGAGTTCCATCTGGCCAAGGTGGACTGCATTGTAGAGGGCAGAGAGGAGCATGCGCCAGAGCCCCACCACTGCCCCTACGAGCATGTTGATGGGGAAGAGTAGGAAGGTGGCCGCTGCGAGTGCACGCCTGGAGGGGAGGAGCAAGGCTGACAGTGAGCGCCTACTGTTTACTGCGTATCTTCTGTACCTCTCTAGACCTGACTGCCCCCCACCCAACCCTGGAAGACAGGTTATTTGCCCCCTTCTGCAGAAAGGAAACTGAAGCCCAGAGAAGCCAGGAGCCAAGGCTGTCTGGATCCTCGGGGGGGGGGGGCAGGGTTGATATTTAAGTTCATGTCTCTACCTGTGAACCCCGGGGTCTCCCACTGCCCCATTAGGGGTCTTTTGTCCATTAACAAAGTCCCTGCAAAACGGAGGGGGGTACAGCCCCGATCTCCCAGGAATGAGGTTTGCCTAGCATATGTGAGGCCCTAGCTCAGTCCCCAGCATTCCAAAACAGTATCACAGACAAACAAAAACAAGTCTCAAGGGAGTGATTCGGGCCCCAGGATAGTCACAGAGAGAATTCTGGAGCAGGCTGGCCTCCATTGGACGGACGTACCTGCAGGGCTCGAGCGTGGGAGGCAAGTTGGGGAAGGGAGAAAGGCCCAGAAAAGAACTCAATGGCCAGGTCCTATTGGCTCAGCCTGTCATCCCAGCTATCAGGAGGCTGAGATCAGAGGATGGAGGTTTGAAGCCAACGTCTGCAAGACTCTGATCTCCAATGAGCCAGCAAAATGCTGGAAGTGGAGGTGTGGATCAAGTGGTAAAGAGAAAGAGAGGGAAGAAAACAGCCAAGCAAGAGGGTAAGCCCCTAAATTCAAGCTGCATTCCCAGAACACATGCATGTGCTTGCATACACACACACACACACACCTCTAAGAGACTCTGGGGACACCTTACCGGTTGGTCAATTCTGGGGGTCCATGGAGGTGCTTCAGGAAGCCCCAGTGGGCTGCTACATTCTGTAGAGCCACCCCCAGCACCAGAGTCAGCCAGAAGGGCCTGTGGTTGGGGTGGGATGGGAAGATTGGTGGCTGTGAGCTGCCCCTGGGGAAAGAGTCCCAGAACGCGCCCCCCCCCCAGATCCACCACCTTCCCCACCCACCAGGAGGCCTGGAGGGAGCGGAGGAGCACGAGGTTCCTGCCGTGAAGCACTGGAATGAACACTAGGAAGGTCAACGTCGTGGTCCCCAGGAAGAAGATGATCTGCTGGACCAGGAGTCCTGTGGGCCCAGCACAGGAGGCAGGAGGTTATAAGGCTGGCCTGTCCCAAACTCCCAGGAACCCAGGAATTTTTCAGTGGTGGGGGAGGAGGGGATGGGAGGTTTTGAACTCAGGGCCTGAGCACTGTCCCTGAGCTCTTTTAGCTTAAGGCTAGCGCTCTACCGATCTGAGCCACAGCTCCACTTCCAGTTTTTGAGTGGCTAACTGGAGATAAAAGGGCTGGCTTTGAACCTCGATCCTCAGATCTCAGCCTCCTGAGTAGCTAGGATGACAGGTATGAGCTATCAACACCTGGCTCTTTTTTGTTGTTGTTGTTGTTGGGTTTTTGTTTTTAGTGCCAATACTTGGGCTTGAAATCTCATTTGGCTTTTTCACTCAAGGCTAGCACTCTACCCCATGAGCCACACCCTCCCTTCCAGGACTTGGTTTCTAATTACTGTGCCACCTTGAGAAGATTGTTTTACCTCTCTGATCCTGGTTTGTTTTGTCTATAATATGGGGACAGGAATCTCTGCTGTGAACAGCATCATATCTGAGCAACCAAGGGCTCTGCTGCCCTTATTTCCCCTTGCTTTTTTTTTTTTTTGCTGGTCATGGGACTTGAACTCTGGGCCTGAACGCTGTCCCTCAGCTCTTCAGCTCAAGGCTAGTCACTCTACCACTTGAGCTACAGCGCCACTTCCGGTTTTCTGGTGGTTTGTTGGAGATGAGAGTTTCACGGACTTTCCTGCCTGGGCTGGCTTTGAATCGTGATCCTCAGATCTCAGCCTCCTGAGTAGCTAGGATGACAGGCATGAGCCACCAGCACCTGGCTTCCCTTGCTTCTTGAGAACAAGATTTCCTGTGAGTGTTTTGCATTCCTACAAGCCAGGGCCTGGCCCATGGTGATGGGTGCTGGAGAGTTAGCTGTCTCTGGAGATAGCCAGGCTAACGGATCACACAGGACACTGTGTACAGAAGGGAGTGTGTGTGTGTGTGTGTGTGTGTACGCACACATACACATATGTGGGTGGTGGGTAAGGCCTGCTGAGATGAAAAATCACAGCTTTCAGTTCTGTTCTTTTAGTTCTCTTCCTTCTCCCCCACATCTTCTTCCCCTCCACCAGAAGGTGAAGGGGGACCCTGGGCCTTGACCCAGCTACCCACATTTTAGGCATCATCCGGTCTAGACCCCATGCTCAGTGCTCAGCAGAACCCTGCTAGCAACTCCGGCCCCCCCACACACCCCAAGGGCTCCCATCCCCCATGAGCTAGCCCCCTCTCCTGGGTCCTGCTCCCCATCCAGAGTCTGGTCCCACCAGAGGGCAGATGAGACTCTTATCCCTGGGCCTTCCCAGCCTGGGCAAAAACTCTCAGGGGCAGCCAGGCACTACGGGGTGCCCTTCCCTCCTCCACAGGGGCAGGGGCGGGCTACGGGCTCACCAAGGCAGGTGAAGGCCGTCTGGTAGGCGCTGAAGCTCATCCAGCAGAAGATGGCATGGCGGGAGGGATGTGTGTTCTGGAGCGGTGGGCCCATCTCCAGGGCAGCCCCACGGTGCAGAGCTTGAAGATTGGCCCTGAGGTGGGAAGGGAGGGAAGGGGGAGGGAGAGCCCTTAGGGAGCAATGCCCAAGCTCCAAGATAGCCCCCCCCACACACACACATGCCCTGTAGCCACCAGCCCAGAAGTACTGAAGAGAACACTAGTTCAATGGGGTGGAAGGAGAGGAGAAGGGAGAAGGTCTTCCTTGAAGAGGCAATGTCTGCAGAGTCTTAAAGGGTAAACAAGGGAGACAGATCCAGGCAGAAGGCTCAACATAAGCCAAGTCAGAAAAGTGAGAAATTGGGCTGGGCACTGGTGGTTCACGCCTGTGATCCTAGCTACTCAGGAGGCTGAGATCTGAGGATCGCAGTTCAATGCCAGCCCAGGCAGAAAAGTCCATGAGACTTATCTTCAGAAAACCGGACATAGGCTGTGGCATAAGTGGTAGAGTGCTAGCTAGCCTTGAGCTGAAGAACTCAGGGAGAGCACCCAGCCCCAGAGTTCAAGTTCCACAAATAACCAAAAAAGAAAGAGAAATGGCCAAAGGTACAGGCTCACGCCTGTAATCCTTGTTACACAAGGAGGCTGAGATCTGAGGATCAAGGTTCGATGCCAGCCCAGGCAGGAAAGTCCTTGAGACTCTTATCGACATTCAATGCCTGGATCAGTCTCTCCTGTGCCTTTGTGCCACCAGACCTCCACCCCACCCCACTCTCCCAGGACTCTGACCCCTGATCCACCTCTGAGTGGGGTGAGTGGGAGCCCCCCACTGACCTGTGTGTCACCAGCGAGCGGGCCAGGAGCAGGAAGGTGAGAGAACACGACAAAACCAAGGCAGAGACGTAGCACACTAAGGGAGGGGGGGATAGTAGAAATCAAGACCTGGGGGCTTGGGGAGCCTCAGGCCCACTGCCGGGGTGGGGTCTGGGGGGGGCAGCTGTCTCTCCATCCCCCCCCCTGGGTGGAGGCCCATCCCCTAGTTCTCAAATCCAGCAGAAGCTGACATCCTTTTCCATCCTGTGACAGATGGAGGCCACCTCTGGGCCCCAGCCGGCTTTGCCTTTGTTGCTTCACGGATTGCTGGGATTCCACCCTACCTGCCACCTGCGACCAGCTCCACCGCATGGCCTTTAAAAGAAACCAGCACTTCCCGCGCACCCCCTTCCAACCCAGCGCGCCTCCCCTGCGCGCATGCGCACACTGCATGCTGCCCCACGCGCACGTGTAGAGGCTCATCCTGCGCATGCGCACACTGTCTCACTGCACAGGCGAACGCCATGAGTCTCACACCAGCTCACCCCGGCACCTGGGAGTCTCGCCTGCGCATGCGCACACCATGAGGGTTCTCCCTCCTCCCCCCACCCCCCCTTCCACGCATGCGCACAGCATGGGCTGCCCAGCCAAGCTGCCCATCTTCTGGAACCACCTTGATGGTGACCTTGTCGGCGACCTTTGTTCAGAGCACAGAGGATGTGAGTCCACAGCACTGCCTGCAGGGACTAGGGAAGGGGCCAGGGCTGCCTGTCCTCCCTCCTCGCCCTCACTCCAGCCATGTGCATGAAGATGAAGATGAGCTGTGCCAGGAGCATGCACATGAGAACAGAAAGGGCTGAAGGCACAGCTCAGCGGGTGCAAAGCCCCGTGTTCAAACCCTGGAACCACCAAAAAATAAAAATGAAGAATATTAGCAGCCAGGTGCCCAGGGCTCTCACATCATTCTAGCTATTCAGGAGGCTGAGATCTGAGGAGAAAGGTTCGAAGCCAGCCCAGGCGGGAAAGTCCGTGGGACTCTTATCTCCAACGAACCACCAGAAAATTAGAAGTGGTGCTGTGGCTCAAAGTGGCAGAGTGAGCCGGGTGTCGGTGGCTCACACCTGTCATCCTAGCTACTCAGGAGGCTGAGATCTGAGGATCACAGTTCAAAGCCAGCCCAGGCAGGAAAGTCCGTGAGACTCCAATCTCCAGTAAACCGCCAGAAAACAGGAAGTGGTGCTGTGGCTCAAGTGGTAGAGTCCTTGCCTTGAGCTGAAGAGCTGAGGGACAGCGCCCAGGCCCAGAGTTCAAGCCCCACAACTGACAAAAAAAAGGCAGAGCACTAGCCTTGAGCACAAAGAGGCTGAGGGACAGCACCCAGCCTCTAGACTGACAAAAAGTGAAAAAGAAACAAAAGGACCTATCCAAGAGCATTCAATGTGTCTGAGCTGAGCTGGGGACCAGCGTGGGTCTCCTGATGTCCTCCCACCATGGCTTTAGGGAACCCCAGACGTCTCACCTTCCAGAGCCCACAAGTGATGCCTCACCAGCTCCACCACCTCGTGCCTGTCCTCGGAGAGCACAATCCCGAAGCCAGCCATCAGGTAGGATACATCGGTGGTGAGCCCGGCCCTCACCTTCTGCATAGTGGGTACCACGCTCGCCAGCAGCAGCAGCGCCACCTAGAGGAGCCCCATGGTCAGGATGCCCAGGGATCAGCTCACCTGCCCCTTAGATAGGGGCCTTGTGCACTACAAACAGCGGGTTACACACAGAGCCAGAGCCCTTCAGAAGACCGGACAGTCCTCGGAGCCTTCCTACTCTCTAAACTTCAGGGTACAAAGCTTCCTTCTTTTCTCTTTCCCCTATCAGAGCCACCAGCATTAAATGGCTACCTTGAAGTATTCGCTGAAAGAGCTTGGCCAGGTCAGTCTCCCAACCTCTGTAATATTCCCCAGCTATAAAACAAGAGAGACGTCAAACTAGGTACCAGTAGCACACGCCTGTCATCCCAGCCACCCAGGAGACTGTGACTGGAGGATCCTAGTTTGAAGCCAGTCTGTGTAGAAAAGCCTGTGAGATTCTTACCTCCAATCAATCAGAAAAGAAAGGGGGAGGGGGGTGGGCACCGGTGGCTCACGCCTGTCATCCTAGTTACTCAGGAGGCTGAGATCTGAGAATTGTGGTTCAAAGCCAGCCCAGGTAGAAAAGTCCCTGCGAGACTCTTAGCTCCAATTATCCCCTTAAAAACCGGAAGTGGTGCTGTGGCTCAAAGTGGTAGAACAAAAAGAGCTCAAAAACAGTTTCCAGGCCCTGAGTTCAAGCCCCAGGACTGACAAAAAAAAAAGCCAGAAGTATAGCTGTGGCTCAAATGATAGCACTCCAGCCTGGAGGGGGAAAGTAAACCAAGCAAGAGCACAAGTCCCAGAGTTCAAACCCCAGGAGTGGCTTGAACCACACAAAACAAAAACCTCATCCATTGTCACTTCGTGAGCTCCCCAAAGGGGTGATCCCCTTTTCTCCAGCTTAGGCCAGAGCAATGGAACAGAGTCGTGGGTGGAGCGTGTGCACAACTGAGCTCTTTGAGACAGGGCATACCTGATAGATGGCTGTCCCGGTCAGCGTGGCTGAGATCACCAGCTTCAAGGGTAAACGGAATCCTGTGGTCCCCATGAGAAGTGCCAGTGAGCAATGCTACCCAAGCTTGGGCCCCCTCCCCATCCTCACAAGGGGTGCAGGAAAAGGCTGGGGTACACAGGACCCCATGCTATATAAACCCAGGCCAGGAGCTTCGCCTGGTCCCACCCAGACTGCCCCCATCCATGGGCCTCTGCCCCCACCCCCGTACCTCGCTGGGGGGTGTAGATCGAGTGCCGGTAGCAGGTGCAGGCCCAGGACAGTAGGCCTTGCTTTGAGGCAGGGCATGAACTGCATGAGACAGATCCTCTGAGCAAGGCCCCAGGACAAGGCCCAGGCAGACCCCTGCTTATTCCTTCCCTGTGCCCGTCATACCCTGGCCTCCCACCCATGCCTGCTCCACAGGCCTCACCCGCCATCCGGCTTCTTCCGGCCAAGAAGGCGCCTCAGGTACTCCTCTGAGTAATAGCCCTGCTGCCCCTAGAAAGGAGATGGAGGGGAGGGGGCAGAGAGGGACAGAGCCCTGAGACCCGAATCCAGCTGACCGCAAGGGGCTCTGGCTTTGGGCACTGGGTGTGTCTCATGTAAGCAGGCCTCCATGAAATCCATGAGCAGCGGTGGAGGCAGGGAGGCTGTAGGACTAAAGGCCACACCGGGGTGAAAAACTGGCCTGGTTCTCTTTCCCCAATACAAGAGCAGTCAGTCTCTCCAATCCTATCAACCCCGCCTGCATGGCTGGGCAGTTCTTCCTTAAGATCAACCTCCGACTGGCTCCGGCTTTACTGGAGTCTCTTGTTGGGAGAGAAAAATCCTAGCTCGGACTGGGGCCTGGGGGAAGCTGGACCCCCTGGGTGTATGGCTGAGGCAGACACAGGATGGCTTCGGTCCAGCCAGGGGCTCCCTGGGGGCATTTCTTGCTGCTGCTCAGGTGACTGGATTTGCTTAAACCACATGCCTTAAGCCGCCTGCTTGCGCGGTGGCCGGGGCCCATGGAAACCCATTCTGTATTCTCTAGGAAGAGAAGGGCAAGGGCTACCTGTTGCCATGGCAACCCCAGAGACCCAGGGCTGGAGTAGATGAACTCAAAGCTTGACTGGGCCCTTTGTGGCTTAAATGTCTCCGACCGAAGTCCAAAGCCTTTGGCATGGAGAGAGCCAGGCCAGGGATATCCTGACAAGGCTCAGCTGGGTCAGGAGAGAGAGCAGCTCCCCTTTTCTGAGCCAGCAGTGAACCCGGGGTGGAGAGGAGGGTAGGGGGAGGTGGGGAGGCCTAAATGGAGGAGTCTGAACAACAGCAGGCAAGAATAACAAGCACAGGAGCTAAACCAAGAAATTAAGGGGAGGCCAAGGAGGCAGGGGGTGAAATCCAGGACCCACAGCCTGACAGCTCTCATTGTGATAAAGCCATCCATCCTAGCCGGGAGCCGGTGGCTCACACCTGTCATCCTAGCTACTCAGGAGGCTGAGCAATTTGAGGATCATGGTTCAAAGCCCGCCTGGGCAGGAAAGTCCACGAGACCTTTATCTCCAATGAACTACTAGAAAACCAGAAGTGGTTCTGTGGCTCAAGTGGTAGAGCGCATGCCTTGAGCTGAAGAGTTCAGGGACAGTGCCCAGGCCCAGAGGTCAAGCCCCATGACCAAAAAGAAAAGGAAAGAAAAGCCATCTGTCCGTCCATCCATCCATGCAAACATTCTGAACCACTGAGTATGTGTCTAGCAGGGCTGCAAAGGTGAACCTGAACAAAACAGTCCCTACACTCCTTAGCTCTATCTGAGCCCTCTACCCCTTGTTCTTATTTTCTCCCCAGCCCCTCCCATCCTGCAGGCCTCCACTGAAGTTGGCCCCCTCCAGGAAGCCCTCCCAGATGGCCCCTGCTTCTGACATCATCCAATAGCGCCTCATTTCAGGTTAATGCAGGACACTTGCACTGCAGACATGTTGGTCCTGGGGTTCTGCATGCCAGCAAGCGCCCACCCAGGCCTTGCAACTGCTTTACGTGGGAGCTCACCCCTGTCCCGGGGCGGAAGCTGTGTCCCAGCTGCAACGGATACCAGACACTCAGGAAGCCGAGGCCCAGGAGGAGAGGCGCGGAGGCCAGTAAGGAGTAGTACTTGTAGATCTGTGTGGACAAATAGACACTCAGACAGATCCCCATCACCCCACGCACTGGGTCCCATACCAGGCCCTGAGGCCTTGGAAAGCCTCCTGCCCCTCTATCCCCCTTTGCAGGACCAGTGTGGGTGCGTGAAACCGCCATGTGCTCTCCCTGGGTTCCGCAAGGCCGGACAATCCCCCCCAGTGCACCCCGCGACACCCCCCAAGAGCTGCATTAAGGCCTGAAGTAGGGTGCCCTCCTCCCTCGCTCCCTTCTTTTTCTTTCCTCTTTCATGTGCAGATCCTGGGGCTTGAATTCAAGGTGTGGGTGCTGTCCTTTAGCTTTTTATTGAAGCTCTACCATCTGAGCCGTACCTCTACTTCTAACTTTTGGGTGGTTCATTGGATTGAAGGGTCTCACAGGGCTGGGAAGGTGGCTCAGTGGTAGAGTGCTTGCCTAGCATGCATGAAGGCCTGGGTTTGATTCCTCAGCACCACATACACAGAAAAAGCCCGAAGTGATGCTGCTGTGGCTCAAGTGGGAGAGTGCCAGCAAAAGAAGCTCAGGAACAGCGTCCAGGCCCTGAGTTCAAGCCCCAGGACTGGCAAAAAAGAAGAAGAAGAAGAAGAAGAGGAGGAGGAGGAGGAGGAAAAGGAAGAAGAAGAAGAAGAGGAAGAAGAAGAAGAAGAAAAGAAGAAGAAGAAGAAGAAGAAGAAGAAGAAGAAGAAGAAGAAGAGGAAGAAGAAGAAGAAGAAGAAGAAGAAGAAGGAGAAGAAGAAGAAGAAGAAGAAGAAGAAGAAGAAGAAGAAGAAGAGGAAGAAGAAGAAGAAGAAGGAGAAGAAGAAGAAGAAGAAGAGGAAGAAGAGGAAGAAGAAGAAGAGGAGGAGGAAGAAGAGGAAGAAGAAGAGGAGGAAGAAGAGGAAGAGGAGGAGGAAGAAGAAGAAGAAGAAGAAGAGGAGGAGGAAGAGGAGGGGGAGGAGGAGGAGGAAGAAGAAGAAGAGGAAGAGGAGGAAGAAGAAGAAGAAGAAGAAGAAGGTCTCACAGACTTTCCTGCCTGGACTGGCCTCAAATCGCCATCCTCAGATCTCAGCCTCCTGTGTAGCTGTGATAACAGGTGTAAGCCCCAGGCACCTGGCTCGACTCCTAATTTTCACCCCTTCCTGGGGGTATTGGTAGTGCCAGCTCCACTGATAGGAAGGGAAACTGAGTCCTAGAAAGGTGATATTGGGAAGTGGTGTTGTGGCTCAAGTGGTAGAGCGCTCGCCTTGAGCTGGAGAGCTGAGGGACAGCGCCCAGGCCCAGAGTTCAAGCCCCATGACTGACCAAAACGAAAAAAGAAAGGTGACACTGTTTCCTCAAAATCTTGCCTGCTTGGTTCTTTATTTTTTCGTGTCTGGGAGATGAGGGGTGGTAGCAGGAATGTCTCTGGTGTGGAGAATGATTATTGAATGAAGCTGTGAATGAATGAATGAATGAATGAGTGATGTTGGACTCCCCTGGCACCGCCTCTGGCTCTAGACTAGGCAACTCTGCAGTGTCGTTTAGCAGCCAGTGCAGCAGCTTCTGAAGCTCCCACATTGTCCTTCAGCCCTGTGGGATCAGCCTCCAATCTGAAACCTTCATTTCCGGCCTGAAGGAAGGCCAGGGAGAGTCAGCACCCAGGATTTCGGGCTTCCTAGTCTGTTGCTCTGGCCCTGCTGAGCTGGGAGCCATGGAGGTCAGCCTGTGTGGTCAGGGGAGAAAGCAGGATGGTGGAAAGAGACAGAGACACCCGCCGTACAAGCAGATGTAAAAAGAGTCACGTGAGCTGGTGGCTCCCGCCTGTCATCCCAGCTACTCAGGAGGCTGAGATCTGAGGATCGTAGTTCAAAGCCAGCCCAGGCAGGAAAGTCTGTGAGCCTCTGATCTCCAATGATCCACCAAAAAGCAGAAGTGGAGCTGTGGCTCAATTGGTAGGACACCAGCCTTATAGCCAAAGGAGTTCAAGGACAGTGCACTGGCCCTGAGTTCAAACCCTAGGACGGACACACACACACACACACACACACACACACACACACACATATGCATGCACGCATGCACACACACATGCACGCATGCACACATGAGCCATGCGGGCTGAGGCAGATCTCTAGGGACCCCTGGCCAAGGGTGCCGGGAATCCATGCTTACCTTTCGAGTCTGGGGACACTCCGCATTCTGCCACACCTGGACGCCAAAATGGGCCCAGGACAGCACGGTACCCAGCACGTGAGCGACTCTGTGCCCAGCCACAGCACAGGCAGCCAGAGGGTAGTAAAGGGCAGGATAATAGAGCAACGCCAGCATGTTCCAAGGTCCTGGGGCACAAAACAGGAGATAGGACCTTTGAGGGAGAGGTCCCTAGAGAAGGCCACACCCACGCAGGCCTCGCTGCCATCTCCATCATCCAAGCCACCCTCAGCTGGTCCAGTGGGTGTAAGAGTCCTGAGTTCAAGAGTAGGGTGTGACCACCACCCACCTTGAGACCTTGTACAACTTACCCCTCCAAGTCTCAGCTTCCTTATCTGCAAAGTAGAAACAACCGTGGTATATTATCAGCAAGGACAAGATAAGATAAACATGATGCTTAGCACAGCACCTGAGTGAGTACTAAGTTAAGTACTCCCTCTTCATTGGTTGCTTTTCTGATCCTAACATCCTCCTCCTTAAAACTCTCTGGAAAGACGTGTGCCAGTGGCTCATGCCTATAATCCTAGCTACTCCGGAGGCTGAGATCTGAAGATTTCAGTTTGAAGGGAGCCCGGGAGGAAAGTCCATGAGATTTCACCGGAAGTGGAGCTGTAGCTCAAAGGGGTAGAGCACCAGCCTTGAGTGAATAAGCTAAGAGGAGCCAGGCATTGGTGGCTCATACCTGTTAGCTTCTCAGGAGGCTGAGATCTGAGGATCTCAGTTCAAAGCCTGCCCAGAGAAGCAAACTGTGAGCGTATCATCTCCAATGAAGCACAAAAAGGCAGAAGTGGAGCTGTGGCTCAAAAGTGGTAGGGCGCTAGCCTTGAGCCGAAAAGCTCAGGAAGAGCAAGCACCCAGGCCCCAAGTTAAAGCCCCCCCAAGAGAAAATAAAAATAATAAAAAGCTAAGGGACAGTGCTCGGGCCTTGAGTTCAAATCTCAACATTGGTGCACACACACGCACACACACACGCACACGCACACTCTCATGCTTTGGGGAGACTGAAGATCTAAAGAGTTTGTGCCCTGGGGGGCTCTAGGGAGGGCTATTCTTTTTTGTTTTGTTTTTAGTCAGTTGTAAGGATCGAACTCTAGGCCTGGGCGCTGTCCCTGCGCTCTTCAGCTCAAGGCACGTGCTCTACCGCTTGAGCCGCAGCACCACTTCTGGTTTTCTGGTGGTTTATTGGAGATAAGACTCTCATGGACTTTCCTGCCTGGGCTGGCTTTGAACCATGATCCTCAGATCTCAGCCTCCTGAGTAGCTAGGATGACAGGCATGAGCCACTGGCGCCTGGTGCCCCTCCAGGTATTCGTGTCTACTCAGCTCTTCAAGCCCAGCTTCATACCCCAGAACTCTAGCCTGGGCCCTGGGTACCTGGGCTGAGGGCAGGGGTGAGGGTCAGGAAGGGCAGCGGGTCGTCGCTGGAGAGCATCAAACACAGGTTGCTGAAGAGAACCATGAAGATGGCGGCTGGCACTGCCCGGGGTCCATCCCTGGCCAAGAAGTCCACAGGACTGGCAGCAACAAGAAGACAAGAGGGCATCACTCAGCGCCTGTGTGCCGGGGTGCCCCAGCGACGCTGCCCCATGCACCCCGCCGCCCCGACCGGACCCCGAGACCCCTCGCCTCGCGGCTGCGCATCATTCCTTCCATCCACATCTGGGTGGGGTCCACCTTCGCAGCTGAGCCCTAGGGCGCCGGGACCCCACAAGGGGTGGGAACAAGGCCCAGCACCGTTCCCTCCACCCACCCTGGAAGCTTCTGGAAGCTTCAGGAAACCGCCGCCCCCACACCGATGCATCTGTCTGTCGGGGCTTTGGCGGATCTTCAAAGAACACAGCGAGTCATAACATCCTTGTGCAAGACCAACGCCCTGGGGCTGGGGCTCGGGCCCAGAGAGGGCAGAGGGAGGTCACCGCTGTCCCAGGCAGCACCCCTTTGGGGGGGGAGGAGAGAGGGCGGCACTCGACCCCCCCTCCACACACACATACCCTGCTGCCCCCCCGGCTCCGGGCACTGCAGCCAGCGATGACAAGCTGGCTGGCCACAAAGCCAGAACCGTCCTATCTATACTACAGCCACCTCCACCAGCCACCTCCCTCCGTCCCAGCCCAGGTGCTCAGGATCACACCTGCCCCAGCCTCTAGGGTGGTAGGACGGATGGAGAAAAAAAAAAAGAAATTGCCAGCAAAAGGGAACCTGGTGACCAGGGTCCAGGTGACAGCGAAGGGCCACGGATAGCATTGGATGAATACAGCCAACTCAGCCTGCTCTTCCAGACCTCCTGTCTCCCCTTTCCTGGGCGACAGGACTCAGAAGCGCTCCCCCTCTGCCCCCATGTCCCTTTTCTCCCTCTCTGGGGGGTCAGATCTGGTGGGGTGTGCTGAGCCCCAGGAGTCAGAGCTGGCTTTGAGGGACTCAGCATGGGGCTCAGGGAGGTACCCAGCACCAACCTGGGCAAGCCAGGTCTCCGGTGCCCACAACTTGGCCAGGGCCGGCGCCGCCTTACCAACGCAGCCAGCAGCAGCAGCGAGAGGAGCTGGAAGGAGAATGGAGAAAAGAGGGATGGGCGGAGCTTATGCCCCCCACCCCCACCCCAAGGGGCTGCGTGTGGCCCTGGTCAGTCCTAGCCGCCCCCCATCCCTTCCATACCAGGTGATGATTTCTAAAAGACTGTAAGCTCATCCTGAGCTTTGTTTGGGACCCCACCCCCCAACCTTGGAAAAACTCTCTGCCCCGTCCCCCTCCCCCGCCCCAGATCCCCAGGCTGGCAGCAAGATGCAGGCCAAGCCCCACTCACCGACAGTGAAGCCAGGCAGGCGTGGTGCAGGCCGGGGGGCGTCCTGGGCTGGCAGGGGGGCTCCGCCCTGCGGGGGGAATGAGGCTGGACCTGGGGTCTCCTCAACCTTCTCATGTCCCATCCTGCGCCCCTGCAGCCAGCCTGCCCCGTTCCATGCATTGGGGCTCAGTTTGTGTGTATGAGTGTGTGTATGTGTGTGTGTGTGCATGCATGCACCTGTACATGCATGTTGGTCCTAGGGTTTGAACTCTGGGACTGAGCTTTGTTGCTTAAGGCTGGTGCTCTACCACCTGAGCCACAGTTCCACCTGTGACTCTTTTGTTGTTGGTTGTTGTTGTGGGGCTTGAACTCTGGGCCTGGGCGCTGTCCCTGAGCTCTTCATTTCAAGGTGTGCGCTCTACCGCTTGAGCTGACGCATCACTTTGGTTTTCTAGTGGTTTATTGGAGATAAGAGTCTCAGGGATTTTCCTGCCTGGGCTGGCTCTGAATCAAGATCCTCAGATCTCAGCCTCCTGAGGAGCTGGGATGACAGGCGTGAGCCACTGGTGTTGATAATGAAAGGCTTAACTTTCCCAGCTGGGTCCTGGGACAAAGAAATTGGCCCAAGGAGCCACTGAGTTTGGGGCAGGAGTTGAGGGGGAATTCGAGGGGCCCCGCTGGCTTGAGTCTGGGCTCCAGTGAGAGCAAAACCAGAGGTCAGAGGAGCTATGTGTGGCTTTCTTTCCACCCAGCAAGCCTGCTGTTCAGAAAAGACCAGACAAGCCCCCGTCCAGGGTGAGCCCAGCGCCCCGGGACTCTGCTTACTTTCTGGAAATCTCAGAGGACAGCCAGGCACCAGTGGCTCCAGCCTGTCATCCCAGCTACTCAGGAGGACGGGGCCAGAGGATGGCAGTTCAAAGCCAGCCCAGGAAGAAAAGTCCACCAGACCCTCATCTTCCACTAGCGAACTGAAAAAGCCTGCAATGTGGCTGGCCTCATCTGAAGGCAGAGCCGGGCTTGGGGGGTGGGGGGACCTAGTGGGTTCTATGTGGGGTGTTGGGGTTCCCCCCTGTCTTAGCTTGGGCCACGCTCTTCCCATGTCCTCTGGTACATTGTGACTGGCTTTGTTACTTTTCCCATATACCCCAACCGAAAGCCAGGGGCCTCCTCAGCCCTGGGGCTCCCCTCCTGTCTGGCAACCCTTATACCCCCCCACGGGCTCCCCACTTGACACCCTGCTTAGTGCTCATTGGGTATGTTTGTGTCATGGAAAGGGAAGATGGGGTGGAGGTAGAGAAGAAGGAGAGAAACTTCCAGCCAAATACTGTTTGAGTTTGAGAGACGGCTGGTATACCCTTAGGCTAAGATTTAAGGGAAGAAGCAGAGCACAGGAAGGAGGCAACATGGCTGACTCCAGGTGAGTCTCAGAAGTGGAGGCCGAGCTGGGCACCCATGGCTCACGCCTGTCATCCCAGCTACTCAGGAGGCTGAGAGCTGAGGATCACAGTTCCAACCCAGCCCGGGTAGGAAAGGCCATGAGACTCTTATCTCCAATGAACCACAAGAAAACCGGAAGTGGCGCTGTGGCTCAAGTGGTAGAGCGCTCGCCTGAAGCAGAAAGAGCTGAGGGACAGCGCCCAGGCCCTGAGTTCAAGCCCCACGACCGACAAAAAACCAAACCAATGACAAAACACACACACACACACACACACACACACACACACATATATCTTGGAAGTGAGGACAGTGTCCTGCAGCTTAGGGGACTTTTGTCCCCTGGTGGTTGAGACCACCCTGGTCCCTGTCCCCAGTGTCCCCCCAGTCTCCCTTCCCCCAGCAGTGGCCTGTCAATGCCAGGGTACCCCGAGGCCTCCCAAGGAAGCCTTCTGCAGAGCTGCAGAACTTTGACCTCAGCTGTACCCTTGGGGCATCTGACTCATGGGGAGAGGTGAGCCCAAGTTCACCCCCCTGGGAAGCCCCGGGGTACCCAGCTCCCCCCCTCCCCACCCAGGAGGGGGATTGGGCAAGCATGTCTGTTTGGAGAGAATTTTTCTTTTCTGTCCATTTTGCTAGTTCTCCTTAGAGCTGGGTGATCTGGGGGGAAGAAATGAACCACAAATCCTGCACCCCCTGTACCTCTACCTCCTGCCCCCACCCTAGTCCTGGGGCTTGAACTTGAACTTAGTCCCTGGGTGCTGTCTCTTCGTTTGGACACTCAAGGCTGACCCTCTCTACCACTTGAACCACAGCTCCATCTCTGGCTTTTTGGAGGTTCATGGGTGATGAGTCTCACAGACTTGTACTGCCCCAGGCTGGCTCTGAAGGGCGATCCTCAGATCTCAGCCTCCTGCATGGCTGGGATTACGGGTGTGAGCCACCATGCCCGGCCCCTGTTGTATTCTGAGCTCACGTTTAGATACACAGCCACACATGGCTGCGGGTGCCTGCCTAACCGGGGACCCCAGGACTCCAGGACCCCTCGATAGAAAATGCCGCTTGGGCCTTGGCTCTGGTTGGCATTTTGATCCTCCCTGGTCCCCTGGGCCTTCTCCCAGCCCCAATCTGGAGGCTCAGGAAATCCAGCTCCCTCAAAGAAGCTCAGTTGGGGGGGGGGTATACCCTTACGGACAGCAGCGTTTGTTCCAGAACCCCCAGTCTTGCGAACCACGGCCCCTCCCCTGGGCCTGGGTGGGGCCTCAGCCCCTGCTGGGCTGACCCCACCCCGTGGGGAGGCACGCAACGAGCATTTTCTCTTCTCGGGTTTCAGATGGTAATACAGAACAGATGTGAGCACATCTGGACGTGCCCCTCCCCCAGCCTCACCTTTCCAGCCCGATCCTCAGACAACAGAGCAGGGGATGGAGACGGGATGGGGGGTGGGGGGGCAGGAACAACTGCAGATTCCCCAGCTCTGGGTCCCCTAGAGGCTGGCGGCCACGGCCGGCCGTGGGTGGGGGTGGGGTGGGGGTTGTGCGCCGAGAAAGTTCTAGTTTCTCCACCAGGGTGCCTGGACTAATCACAGATAAGAGTTTGGAGCAAGAAATCTCAGCCACCCTGAGCTGACCTGGGTACACTTCTTAATACACGGAACAGGGCCTCCTGGGCCTCCCTTCCCGGGCCTCCCTTCCACTGACTCCAGGACTCCCTCCGGGGAGAAAAATGCATGGGCAGCAAGTTTTCTGGGTGTCTCCTTTTTCCCTTCTCTTTCCTCTTAAGTCCCCCCCCCACTATGCTTGTAAAGCACCCCCTCTGTAAACCCGCAACCCCCCCCCCCAGGTCATCTGCCTCAAGGCCTCTCCCCTGATTCGCCATCTGACCTCCAGGCCAGGCCCCCCTCCCCCCACCCCCGTATGTCCCAGGTCTAGCTCTACCCAACTTCACACAGGTGTTTGCACCCCATCGGCCTGTGTGGCCCAGGCGCCCCCCCCAACACACACACACCCCCATCTGAAACCTCTTGACCCCAGGGCAACGTTTGCTGCTCCAAGGGAGGAGAGAGGCTGCGGCTTGGTCTGGGATCACACAGCACACAGGAGGCATGCTGGGCACGCATTGGCAACTTGGCCAACACCCCATTTCTTGGCTGGGGGGGGGGCGGGCCGAAGGGTAACACTCACCCCTGGGGCCGGAGCTCCTCATTTCCCTGGGGCTCATCGATGTACCAGCTGCCGGAGTCATCTTCAGCGGTCCCGGGCCATGTCTGGTTCCGGGCAGTGGCCTGGGTCGCCATTGTTTGATCCTTCTCCTTGCAGACAAGGGGGGTGGGGGGAAAGCCACTGTGAACGTGCAAAGAGGCTTAAGAGAAAGAGAGAGAGAGAGAGAACCCAAACAAAGAAACATTTCTTCCTCATCTTGAAGGCTACTTTCTTACTGTTTTGCTGTCTGGGAAAACCAGTCTGGGACAGCTGAACTTACAAGGGGGGAGGGTTGAGGGGGGGGGAGACCTGCTCAAAAGTCGCCTCTCATCCTTGGCCCCTCAATCCTTGTCTGGCGTCTGCCCCTCACCAGGGCCTCCCAGCTGGGCCCCCCAACCCCTCCTCTCTCGGGGTCCGGCCCCCCTCCCCACTTTTCTCAAGCTCCCCCCTCCCCAGCGCGTGCCCCTCCCCCTCCCCCTCTTGGGCCTCAGAGATGCGAAGATAGAATAATTCTGGAGAGGTTTGTCCCCCCCCCCAGAGGTTGGCATCTGGCGGGACAGTTTGGCACCCGCACCCCGCACCCCACCCGGAGCCCCCCCACCACACCTGAGCCAGCAGGGGAGGAGGGGGAGGGCCACACACCTGCAGAGTTCAGAAGTTCAGAGACAGCTCGCTGGAGTCCCCTCCTTAGCCCGGCCAGGCCCCGGGGGTCCGCCAGGATGTCCGCACAGGAGGCCACACGTGTCTCTCTTGCTGGTGAAAAACTTTTGTTCCCACAACTTGATTTCTCAAGATAACTCACCCCCACAGGCGGAAGCACAAAGCAGACCCACACGCAGGCAAGCGGCACCCCGCCTGCCTGCCCGCCCCAGGCTACTCCAGGTCTGGGGTGAGGGTTCCTCCAGTCTCCTCCCCACTCCCTGGACCCCCCCCCACTGCCTCCCCCCACCTCTCCTGGGCCCAGCCCGAGGGGAGGGGCCAGAAGCAGACAACTGCAGACCACAGTTCTCAGCTATTACCCCTGGTTGGGGTCTGCGACCCCCCCCACCCCCAGACCCTGGGGGTCTCCACCCTCTCAAGACTCCACAGGAGACCTCACTAGGACCCTCCCCAACCGGGCTTTTGTTCTTTAAGCATTCAATCACCTGGCACGGGTGGCTCCCCCTAGCTACTCTGGAGGCTGAGATCTGAGGATCGCAGTTTGAAGCCAGCCTGGGTAGAAAACCAAACGAAACCAAACACATGGGACTCTTATCTCCAACTAAGTGGCAAAAACCTGGAAGTGGAGGTGTGGCTCAAGTGGTAGAGTGCCAACTCTGTGAGATGGTGAGTCCCTGAGGTCAAATCCCAGCGCCCACATATTAATAGAAAGAAGGGAAGGGAGGGAGGGAGGGCGGGCAAGAATTCTTTCTTTCAACAGAAACTTACTGAACAAACTATTAAGTTCTGGGCCCTGGCTGAGACCGAGGGAGGTCCTCCAGAAGCGCTTACCTCTGAGAGCTGAAGCGCCAAAGGATCAGGTGGCCTGACCCATCCCACAGCACGGAATTGGGCCCCAGGGAACTGGGGATGGAGGAAGAATCCAGAAGAAAATCACCTTTGAGGAGAGACCCGCAAGGCGGGGCAGGAGCCAGAGCAAGCCGTTCCCAGGCGGGAAACAGCCTGAGTGAAGGTTGAGAGGCCACAGGGCTGGAAGCAGAGCACCAGAGCACTGAGCACTGCACAAGGAGTTCACCCCGGCTGCCCCCCCCCCCGTCCCACAGAGGGAGAAGTCAAAGTCAAGCTCTGCTCTGCTGACTCACACTGAACCCGAGTTTTATTTGAGCCCAGCTGATCTCAGCTCCCACAGTCCTGGGGTGGGCACCCTGGGGCAGACAGTCTTTCCTCCCCTCCCTCCCTCCTTCCCTCCCTCCCTCCTTCCTTCCCTCGGGGCACGGTGTGCGGCTCTGAAGTCACAGGGACTCTAGATACAGAGTTTGGCAACCCCGCTGCCTGCTTGTGTGCCGGTCATAGGTCACACAGACTGCTGGGTACCTATAGCTAGGGGCCTATGGGGGAGTGTGTGGGGGGGGCTTAGCTTGGACTACAAATCCCAGCATGCCCTTCACCACTCAGAGACCTCCACCCAGCAGCCAATGATCAGTGGATGCTTTTTGTAAACCCCGCCCATACCTCTAGCTAGTTGGCAGCCCTGGGGAGAGGGCAGAGGGGGAAAAAAATACAAGGGCAAAGTTGGCTTCGCTGAGGTCACGGCTCATACCAGACAGGAGGGACCCCCCTGGGGGTGCCTGAACCCCATCCTGCCTGGGTGTGGGTGGGGACCACAGGCCAAAGCCTTCACCTCCCTGGAATTGTATCCCAAAGGCCTTGCCATCAATACTAGCTCCATCTTCTTTTATTTTTATTTGTTTGTTTTTGTGCTGGTTCCTGGGGCTTGAACTCAGAGCCCGGGAGCAGTCTCTGAGCTTCCGTGCTCTACCACTTGAGCCACAGCTCCATCCTTGGCTTTTTCTTTTTTCATTGGAGATCAGAGTCTCACAGACTTTCCTGCCTGGCCTGGCTTCCAACCGCGATCCTCAGATCTCAGCCTCCTGAGTAGCTAGGATGACAGGCGCGAGCCACCCCAACACCCGGCTCCTTATTTTTCTTTCTTTCTTGAGCCAGTTTCCTTGCAGTTACCATCCTCCAGACTCAGCCTCCTGTGTGCCCGGATGGAGAGGTGCCTCACTCCCTCCTTCCTGGTCCTCACTGGGCCCCGGCCCTCTGTGATTCCCCCCCTCTCCCCTACACTTCCCCCCAGGAAGGCTGAATGTTCCCTGTTTCCTTTTTGCTCCTCTGAACCTTTGCATGTCATTCATGTTATTCTTTCCCAAGAGCCTCCACTCTCCAGGCTCCGTTCTGGGAGGCCGGGCTGGCCTCCGCCTCTTCTGGTAAGGATGACTCAGTCCCCAAAGGCAAGCCCAGACTCCGCAGGCCCCGTGCCATTCTTGAGGAGGGTATCTCGGCATCTTTATTTCCCTAGTTAAGCCTCCGGTCCAGCTTATGGTCTGACCAGTTGGCCTTCCTCATATCCATGTGCAAGTGGGAGCCCGGCGCTGTTCTGGTCCCTAGCTTCAGGCTTCAGCACTGAGGCCTGGTATCAGGCTGGAGCCTCGGGGGTACCCTGACTGCACCCACAGTCAGCCATGGCTGCTCTTATCCCTTCCGATAAGGTGCTAGGAGCTAGCCAAGCCCTGTGGCTTTGATCTAGATATAAATGTCTGGGGGTGTTGGCCCCACATTCTCTAGACATGAAGTCACTGAAGCGAGGGGGTGAGGGCCTGGGTGGTGAACCCACAGTAGAAGAATCTGTGGGCTGAGTGCCCCAGAGATGGAATCAGGATCCAGAAAAGAGAAAAAGAGCTCTGTCAAGGCCACAGGGCCCAAGCTCAGGCAAGCTGGCTGGCTTCCTCCCACAGCCCAGCCTTTCCATCGCCAGCCCTGCCCTGCCCTGTCCTGCCCTGGGCACCAGTTGCCAACCAAGGCAGAGACACAAAGCCACCGGCTCCTCCTCTCTGCCCAGGTAGAAGATGGAAAAGCCGAGAAGGGTTATGGCGGCTTCTGAACCATTAAGATAATGGAGATCAGCTGAGCGCCGTTGGCCACGCCTGTAATCCCAGCTACTCCCAGAGATCTGAGATCGGAGGCTCTCTCTGATCCCCGAGGAACCACCAGAAAACTGGAAGTGGAGCGGTGGCTCAAGTGGTAGAGCATTAGCCATGAGCACAAAAACTCAGAGACAGTGCCCAGGCCCTGAGTGATGCAAAGATCCTGAGGGCATCCAGGCCCCTGCCCACGAGGTGCGGATGGGGTCCCCAGACACCTGTGGCGCTGGCTGGGGGAAGGCCCTCAGTCGCGTGGGCCCCCCCAGGGCCGGCGCTGCCCTCTCTTTGGGCCCCAGCTGGCCCTGGAATGCTTGTGGCCGGGGCTTCCTTCCTCTGTCTGTTTTTCTTGTTCAAGCTGATTAAACCTGAGGAATGTTTGCGTCCAGGGACGGAGGCCTGAGCGCCCATCTACAGTTATCAAAATCTTCAAAGGGCAAAGTGCTAGGTTTAGAAGGCGCTAAGAGCAGACAGGAAGGAATGAGGGTGGAGGACAGCACCCCAAGCTTCAGGAACGTTCCCTTGGACATCAGCCATTCCAGGAACCCCTAGAGCTTCAATCTCTCCCCCTTCCCGCCTCCCCTCCAGCCCCCCAGCTGTTTAAATCAAACTCAGCCTGGCACCGGTGGCTCAGGCCTGACCTCTGGGCTACTCAGGAGGCCAAGATCTGAGGATTGAAGTTTGAAGCCAGCCTGAGCAGAAGCGTTCTTGAGACTCTTATCAACAGCGAACCAGCAAAAAAAAACCCAGAAAACGGAGGTATGGTTCAAGTGGTAGGGCGCCAACCTTGAGTGAAAAGAATCTCGGGGACAACGCCCAGGCCCCACGTTCAAGCCTCAGTAGTGGCACAAGAAAAGACAAAACAGAGAATTGTCCTGGCCCAAAGCCCATGGCGACGGCCCGGCTGTCGGAGGCCTGGACGCTCCCCGGCCAGCATGTTTGCCCCATGTGGCCCCAAAATGGTGCCGGACCAGACTTGGGCCATGGAGCTGGGCTCTCCATCACCCTCTTACCCACAAACACTGGGGCCAGGCTCCCAGGAGATCCTACACCACCCTGTCCTGTGAGCTCCCATTCTTCCCTGGTAATCCGGAGGATCGCTGTTCCAGGCAGCAGCTCTGCTTTAGGGTAGGTAGTTCACTCAGCCTTTTCCCACCTGCCCACCCTCCCCAATGCCTGTCCAGGCTGTCCCCTCCCTGTCCTTTACCGGTCACACGGGGATGGGGGGACACTCTGGACGCTCCCCCACAGCTGGGCTTCCTCCTCTGAGTGGAGCCAAGGGCCTGGGTTGGGATCTCAGGCCCAGAGATGGCCCAGCACTTGCGTTAAAAGGCACTCCAGCTCCACTCCCCCTGTTCGGCCCCCCCCCCCCCCCCCCCCCCCGTCTGGGGTCCCAGCATCTGTGAACAACCCACCCCTCCCCTTTCTCTGCAGCTCCAGCCCACAGGGCTGGGCCCCTCACAGCCACAGGGGCGGCCATTTGCCAGAGAAACTTGATCACTTTGGTCCTCTGAGTCACCTCGGTGGGGAGAAGCCGGTGAGCTTTGATGGCTGGCTTTCCCAGCTGTGCTGGGGATAGTGTGGCCCAGGGAACCCCCCTCCCCTCATTTGTCACCATCCATCACTCCCAGGGGGGCCTGGGGCCTGATGAATGGTCCCCAATCCAGCCACCAGCTCAGCTTTTAATAACCCATCGGGTACCCTGTGGACACCAGCTAAAGAGCCCTGAGGGGGGGGAGGGAGGGCAGGGGTGCTCTGTACTGTGAGGGGAGGGAGGGTGGCAGGTGTGCTCTGTACTGTGAGGGAGGGGGGGGGGGGGGCTTCCCTGAGGCCTGGATTCCAGGGCCTCTCCAGGACTGCCTCTTCCTCTCCTCACAGTAAAGACAGAGGTACTGGGCCTGGGCCTTCCTACCTTCCTGCCTTCCCTCCTTCTCCTCCTCCTCCTCCTCCTCCTCCTCCTCTTTCTCCTTCTCTTCCTCCTCCTCCTCCTCCTTCTCCTCCTCTTCTTCCTCCTCCTCCTCTTTTTCCTCCTCCTCCTCTTCCTTCTCTTTCTTCTTCCTCTTTCCCTCTCAGTCTGCCTCTCTCTCTTTCTTTTCTTGAGCTTGAACTCCTGAGCCTCTGTCCCTGAGCTTGGTCAAGGCTAACACTCTACCGCGTGAGCCACAGTACCATTTCTGGCTTTATTTTTGGTGGGTGCTTAATTGGAGATAAGAGTCTCACAGACTTTCCTGCCCAGGCTGGAGATTCGGGTGAGACTCTCTTATCTCCAATTAAGCATCCCCCCCCCTCCAAAAAAAAGAAGCCAGAAGTGAAGCTGTGGCTCAAGCGGTAGAGTGCTAGCCTTGAGCAAACAAGCTAAATAAGAGACAGCATCCAGGGCCTAAGCTCAAGCCCCAAGATTGGCACCAAAACAACAATTTACATTGCATGTGAGTAGCCCAAGACTAAATATTAAATATTAACCAGCAAGATGGAAAAAAAGAACATGTATTCTAAAAAAAATTAATAAATAAAGGCATTGATGACAGTGGCTTACACTTGTAAAATACTAACCATTCAAGAAATTAAGATTTTGGAGAATGGAGGTTCAACGCTAGCTAGGAACATCTGTGAGGCTCCACCTCTAATTTATCAGCAAAAAGGAAGGCTGGAGGTCTGGCTCAAGTAGTAGAGTATCATCCCTGCGAGCACCAGGCTCTTGAGTTCAAGACCTGGTGCTGTCCTCCCTCCCATCCACAACAAAAAAGAAACGTGAGTGTTTTCTTGGCCCTTTCCAGCTGACTGAGATGCAGTCCTAACGGCTGGTCTTGAGAAGCCATTTTGGGCTCTGAGGCAAAGCTCACGAATTACATACCAAAAAAAAAGAGCAGTAAGTTAGCCGTAGAGACAGAGACTGAGCTAAGAGCAGATCGGAAGCCGGGAGGAGGCCTGCTGCACCAGCCCTCCGTCACAGTCAGAGAGGTCACGTGACTGGACGGGGTCACTCAGTGACCCAGTCCTGCACCCCATCCTCCTACACACACAGCGCTGGACTCTGCTCCCACCTTTTCCCCCACAACCCCCGCTTCCTTGAGTCCTAACGCTGCTGCTCTATGCTGGGGCTGGGGAGCCCCTAAAACTAATGCCAGCCCATGACCACAACTTTCAGCCCAGCACCTAATGAGAACGGGGTACAGCCTGCCCCCTCAGATTCTGTCTGTCTGTCCGTCTCCTGGGCCTCTGTGTGCCTGTCTGTCTATTAGTCTTTCTTTCCATTCTGGTGCCTGTTACAGTTTTTGTTTATTGTTTGGGGTTTATTTTTGGTCAGTCCTGGGGCTTGAACTCAGGGCTTGGGCACTGTCCCTGAGCTTCTTTTGCTCAAGGCTAGCACTCTCCCACTTGAGCCACAGCACCACTTCCAGTTTTCTGGTGGTTCATTGGAGATAAGAGTCTCACGGAGCCGGGCACCGGTGGCTCATGCCCATGATCCCAGCTACTCAGGAGGCTGAGATCTGAGGATCACAATTCAAAGCCAGCCTGGGCAGGAAAGTCCTTGAGAATCCTATTCCCCCAAAGTACCAAAAAAAAAAAAAATGAACGTGGAGCTGTGGCTCAAGTGGTAGAGCCTCAACTTTAAGCACAAAAGCTCATGAACAGCACCCAGGCCCTGAGTCAAGCCTTAGTATACACACACACACACACACTCACACACACACACACAACTGAGCACACAGTAGATGCTCAATAAATGTTTATTATAGGAATAAATGCTAAAAGGCCGTGGGAGGGATTCCTGGCCGTCTGCCTTTGTATCCTAAGCCAGGCCCAACTTCCTTGTTACTTGGTTTCTCAAACAAACAGAGAATGGTGGGGGGTGTGGCCTCAAGCACCCAGACTTTAGTCCCAAACTGGGACTGTGGGCCCGAGAGGCAGTGCTCAGCCTGGGAAATCCCTCCTTGACCTTGACCATGACCTTCACCGGGCCAGAGCCCTGGCTCCCAGCATCGCTGGCAGCTCAGAGGCTAAAAGTGGAGGAGAAGACCTTGGACCTGGAGTTCGAGGTCCTGAGCGTGGGCTTTAACGAGGAGGGCAGGTACGCCCTGCGGCTCTCCGTGGAGAACCCCCTGCAGGCCTGCTCTGGGGCCGGGGTGCGGCTGCAGGTGAACGACGGGGACCCTCTCCCAGCCTGCTCAGTGGTCACCGAGGTCCTGGAGCAGCAGGATCCTGGACAGAGCCTGGCCCTCAGCAGGAACAAGTTTACCTTCACTTTGCCCAAAGGTATACCAAACGAGGGGACGTCGGGGGGAGCCTGGGGACCTCGGCCCTGACCCCTGATGGGCCTTGGGGTGTGATCTGGGAGAATCAGAGGGGCTCTGCTTGTGTGAGGCTCACAAACCAGGGTCCGGAGGCCCCAGTTCCGCTCCCTCCAGGGTGAACACAGGATGCTGTCACCCAGAACTGAGTGAGGAGGCCACGGAAGGCTGGTGTGGCCCAATGCCGGTGCTCACGCCTGTAATCCCAGCCACTCCGGGAGACTGAGATCGGTAGGAAGCCAACCCAGGAAAATCCCCTGAGACTCTTATCCCCAATAAACCCCCAACCCCCCCCCCAAAAAAAAGCCAGGCATGGGGCTGTGAGTGGAAAAAGCTAACGGACAGCACCCAGGCCCTGAGTTCAAGCCCCAGGACCAGCACAACCATAGGCACACAAAGCTAGCCGGTCCCGACCGCCCCAAGGCCCCCCGAGGTGGAAGGAACCCCAAGTGTTGTATTAACACCCCCATCTCCCCACGCAGGGTTCTGCAAAAATGACGGCCAGCATGACGCACGGCTGCGTGTCGAGGCCCTGCGGCTGGACGGAGGGGGCTTGGGAGGGGCACCCCGGAGAGTAGGAGAGGCCATCTTCCCCATCTACCCGCGCCCCGACCAGCCCCGCATGAACCCGGCCGCCCAGCAGCACGAGGATCTCTACCGTTACCACGGCAACCTGTCCCTGCTCCGGGCCAGCCAGGACCCCAGCGCACGGCACTGCGGGGCGCTGTCCTACAGTGTGGCCTTCCACGAGCACCGGGCCCAGCCCCAGAGCCCCAGGGCTCAGGTGGGGCCCAGCTAGCCCGTGGTACAGCCACGGCATGCGTGGAGGGGTGAGGGGGAGCCTGGGAGCCCCAGTGTAGAAGGCAGAAGAGCCGAGCACCGGCGCTCACGCCTGTCATCCCAGCTACTCAGGAGGCTGAGATCTGAGGATCGCAGTTCAAAGCCAGCCAGGGGGCAAGTAAAAGTCTGTGAGACTCTGATCTCCAATGAACCACCATCCTCTCCAGGTTTCGAGGAAAGCTCCAACAGACCATGAGGTAGAGGCTTCCTGCCCAGCTCAGGCCCCACCCAGCTCCCAAGATGACCAGCAGAGGCTCAGCCCTGAGCCAGGATCCTGGCCACCCCAAGCCCAGGTAAGAAGGCACCCAGTCCTGACCCACGCTGAAAGATGGTTTCCCTCCTCCGGGCATCCCGTCCATCTCCCAGCCATGGGCAGCAACCCATTTCATCGATGGAGAAACTGAGGCACGGGGATGTTAAGTTCTATTTAACATGAACATTTCCTGGGGGCCTCCCTTGACCCAGGTCAGTCTTTAAATGCAAGACACAAGCCTGGTTCCAAGATGGCAGGAAGCGGGGTGTGTATGTGTGTGGTGTGTGTGTATGTCCCTGTACTGGGATTTGAACTCAGGGCCTGGGCGCTGTCCTAGAGCTTTTCCATTCAAAGTTGGCGCTCTACCACTTGAGCCACACCTCCTCTACTTGTGGCTTTTTGCTGGCTCATTGGAGATAAGAATCTCACAGACTTTCCTGCCCTGGAACTGACTTGAGCTGGAATCCATCCAACAGCTCAGCCTCCTGAGCAGCTGGCTGGCTCTGACGCACGTTTCCAACACCCCTCCCTGTCCTGAGCTAGTGAATGAGATCACTGGTCCCTGGGCTCCTAGGTGACAGTCGGTCTCCGGGGACTGCTGGCTGCGGAGCGCCACCCACCCCCTCCTATGACAGCAGAGGAACAGAGCTGAGGGACAGCTCTCCCCGCGCGCCCGTTCTTCAACATGCATTGAGCTGCGATCTGGAATGTCTGGGAGAGAAAGAGGACAGAAAAAGAGAGAGAGAAAGAGGGGGTGGGAAGGACGGGAGGGGGGAAGGGGCGGGCATCGTGGCCACAGCGACCCGGGCCGCTCTAATTTCTGTTATTTAGAATCATCATCTCTGCGCGGCTCTCTCTCTGAAAGTGTCAGGTGTCTGCTTCCACCGCGACAAGAAAATGGTTTTCGAGGGAGAGGAAAATCGGTTCCCTCCAGGGGTGTGTGTGCGTGTATGGTGTGCACATGTGTGTGTGTGTGTGTGTGTGTGTGTGTGTGTGTGCCTGTAATCACAGCCCCATCAGAAATGCAGGAGCAAAGAATGAATCAGAGGGTACACTTGCCATCAGAGAGACTCAGTCCCTGCCGACCCCACTGCCCCATGGCCCCGTGGCCTGTGTTTGGGCTCCCTAGAGAATACAGGGAACCCCCCCCCGAAAGTGCCCTCCTCCTGTGGACCCATCCCCCCCTCCCCTCTTTGGGTCTTGGTTGCAGATGAGGAGAAAGATCTGGAAGGGGTGGGGGAGGGGAGGTGGAGACCAGAAACTCCATCTGCCTGGGCTGAACTCCAACTTCAGCTTTATCGGGTTCACGTCCAGGAATGGATGTCTGGGTTCCCCGGATGCAGACAGCTCAGGATCTCCTCCTCCAGGAAGCCTTCCAAGCACGGGGTTCACCCTTTCCAAGAGATCGCTCAGGCCAGGCAACCCCAGGTGTGGAAGCAATCCCGTCTCTGTGATTGACGACTCCCGCTGCAGGCGGACGCCTTGTTCTCTGCCATCTGCGTACTGTGCGGTCTTATTTATAACCAGAACCGATGCAGGGCCAGATGGGGGTTTCCGGGGCGGATGTGGGGGTGCAGGAGACTGGAGACACAATGGCCAGGATGCTCAAGATTGAGCAGGGAGCCGGCCGTCAGGGCTCACGCCTGCCGTCCTGGCTACTCAGGAGGCTGAGATCTGAGGATCGCTGGTTCAAAGCCAGCCTGGGCGGGCAGGTCCGTGAGACTCCAGTTCATCACCAAAGGGCTGGAAGTGGAGCTGCGGCTCCACACACACACATACACACACACACAGAACAGGGAGGACTGAAGGTGTGGCTCAAGTGGTACAGCACCTGCCGAGCAAGTGTGAAACCTTAAGTTCAAACCCCAGTGGGAGCCAAGGCTCAGTGTGAACTTGAACTTCCGGTCTGGATGGCTGAGCCCTAATGTGACTCTGAGTGGTTATCGCCAGTGCTCCAGCTCTTGAGTCCTTCTTATGGGGGGGCTGTGGGGAGGAGTAAAGAGGAGACTGACCCCCAAACACTTCCAGCATGGATGGTCTTGGCCACCCACATCTGTCAGCCCCAAGTCCCTGCCCCACAAAGGGAGACAATGGGTCCAACAGCTCAGACAGCAGCAGGACCCTTAATCTTGGGGCTCCGGGTCCCCCAGACCCTGAGCCCCTTGTGGAGAGATTATGGAGACTCCCCCGTCCTCAGCCCATACCTGCTGATGTCCACCTCCCCCCCTCTGGCAGCTCTGTTCTTCCTTGCACAATGTGAAGGCAGTGATCCGACCAGCAGGGGTGGTCCCTGAGGTTTAGGTGGTGCCTGAGCCGCTATGAGGACAAATGGGATGGGGGTTGGGACGCCTGGAGCCGCTGCAGCCTCGAGAGCCATGAGGGATCCACCATGAGAGGGTCGCTGGCTTCCGGAAGCCTGGGCTTGGCAATGCCATGCTGGGAGGTCTCGGGGTCACTGTAGGGGTACAGTCACCACAAGAGGGCTCCCCACCTGGCTTCTTCCCCCCACCCACCCACAGCTTTTGGGGGGTACAGGCAGGAGGAGGAGAGGGCTGGATTCTCCCCAATTACCTCTTTCCAGACAATCACAGTTTTGTTTCATGAAAATGGTTTTTGTGTCCCAGGAGCCTTTTAAATGGCGCTTTCAATTTTTTTTTAATTCTTTCCATTTAAAACATACTCTTTTTATTTTTTGGCCCCTGGGGGGGGGTGGGGGAAGAAAGGCAGAGAGAGAGAGAGGGGGCCATTAAAGCAATCACCAAATCCTTGGCAGCTGGCGGGCAGCCCGTGGCTCGTGGCTTTGGCAGCCACAGGCTGCAGAAGGAGAAATGGATGGAGAGCCGCCATGGCGCGCTTCTTACCGGCCTGATGTCCCCTCTGCCCTCTGTCCCTTGGGCTTCTGTGGCTGGATTCCTGTCCCTTTGTTCCTCCCTGTTGCCCCCCCCACCTCCTGTCTGTCCCGGGGTCCTGGATCCTAGCTGGGGCTCCCCCCCCAGCTTGGTGGCCAGCCACTTCCCCCTCTTTCTCATGGTGGGCACGTTCATGGCCCGCCACGGCCCAGGAGCCTGGGCCACGCAACAGGGCTGATTTAATCAACTCCTGCTTTCCAGTGCCCTTTGGATTCTCAAGGGGGGGGACCCCGACTAGCCTGGCGGGGGGAGCTGGACACCTCGCTGGCCGTTGCCCCTTCCCCTCCGTGCCAAGCCCTCCAGCCTGGATGGCTCCTGGCCTAAGGGTGGTGGAGGCTAAGGGAGGAGGCTGGGAGTGGGCCTCAGAGGCCCAGGGAGGAAAATGAGGGCACGTCCCCCCCCATGTAACACCCCAGTCCTAGGCACTGGCTCCCCCCCACACACCCAGAGCTGCCCACCTCCGCCTCCCCCACCCACTCAAATACCAGAGGACCCCCAAGGCAGGGCTTTCTCCTGCTTAAATGGGGAGCTTTTATGGGCTTTAGAAAAAAACACTCCAATTGTTCCCTCAATTACCCCGAGCAGATTGAATATATTAATCTCTCTCTTAACTGGAGGTCTGTATCCCCTCCCCCCCAGCCGCCCCCCTCCCCCAGCCGCCAGCCCCCTCCACAGGCGCGTGCCCACAGTGCCCAGCCCCCAACCTTTACAGCCAGGAGCCCGGGCTGGCCTGCTTGGTCCACACGGGGGGGGGGGGTGGCTTCTGTTACACACACACACACACACACACACACACAATTACGCGCATGCACATGCACCTATGCGCACACACGGGCGCAGATCGCTTCCCTACGTTTCTCTATCCATTTCCATTGATTTCCGCCCCCCTCGCCACTATTTCAAAGAGCTTTTTTTCTTTCCCTGAGTAACAGCAATCACACAGGGGCCCCCCTCCCCCGGAGAAGGGGGGGCGGGACACGGAGGGGGGGTGCTGCTCTGGTGACAAGGGCCTCTAGTTTAAACATACTCTGCCCCAGGCAGCTGGGCCCCCACTAACCGCCCGGCCGGGTCTCTCTTTGTAGCTCCATTTTCTTTCATTTCTAGGGAACAAAGGCGCTGTCAGGGTATTCTCAGAAGCTGTCACACACACACACATACACCAAGCTCTCCAGGAGAGGGGTGGGGATTCAGCACTCACCCGCCCCAGGAAAGGTGGAGTGGAGGAGGGTACTTCCCGCCCCCTGCCCACCCCCCAGGACAGCCCAGGGGTCCTGGATGTGCCCCTACCTTGGACTCTCTCAGGCCGGTGTTGGGAAGGGACTTGGGGGGTGCAAATGGCTTAGGGGAGATCTCCACAAATGCACAGGGATGAGGGATCCCAGAGCAGATGAGGCTCTTTCTTTGTGCCAGCCCTGGGGCTTGAACATCAGGGCCTGGGCATTGTCCCTGATGGTTTTATTTGCTTGAGGCTGGTGCTCTACCACTTGAGCCGCATCACCACATTTAGCTTTTTTTTTGCTGGTTCATTGGAGATAAGCGTCTCATGGACTTTTCCAACCTGGGCTGGCCTCAAGCTACGATCCTCAGATCGCAGCCTCCTGGGTGGCTGGGATGACAGGCGTGAGCCACCCGTGCCGGGCTGGCGCCCTCCTCCTCCTCTTGCTGGGAAGGTTACATTAAGACGTCCACCCCGTGCGTGATGAACGCAGGCGCAGGGTTGTCTCAGAAAGTCTGGGTGGCACAAAAGGCCTGGGGCTCAGGCCCTGCACCTTAGAAAATCGCGTTGCCGAGCGTCCCCTGGGAACACTGAGCGTCCACTGTCTCGGGGCTACACGCTGGGCCCGTGGGGTGTGAGCATGAGAAGTGGCTCCATTAGCAGATTGTCACAAGGGAACACAGCAGATGGCCAGCTCCCCCCTCCCCCACCCCAGCCGGCCAGACTGACTCATCCCGCCTCTGTGGGCGAGCGTGAGTGTGCACGGCACAGGAGAGACAGAGAGGACCACTGGTGTGCCCCCCCCCCTCCAGCCAGGAGTGGAAATGTGAAATCTCCACTCAGGGACAGGCTCAGGGACAGCGCAGGAGTGATGTATGAGCTGAGACCATGTGAAACCATCTGTAATACCAGGCAGGGTGACAATCTCAG